GACCTCTGGTTGGCCTGTGAGACCAGCCCCTTGGCCTGTTCTCACAGGCCTGTGTTCTATTCGGGGGCAGTCCAGTCCAGTCCAGGCCGGCACCTCTGTCGGTACCAGCCAGTTCAGTCCAGTCCAGTCAGTCCGCTGGGGTATACCTCAGCAGTTGTCTGTTTCGTCATCATTCTTCACTTGCACATTTTGGAGTACGTGCGTTGGAGTCTTGCGTGGGGAGCTCCGTTGTGCCATCTCGCTCCCCCCTTCTTCCTCCATCTCCATCTCTACCACTAGCGGAGCACCACACCTGGTGGGTCCGCTACATTGGTATCGGAGCGGGAACGTTCCCCGCTCCCACCCACCACCCCATACAGCTGTACAGCTGAGCAAAACAGCAAAACCCGACAGCGGGTTTTTTCGCTGTTTTCGGGTGTTTTTTCAGTGAAAACGTAGGGAAAAAGCGGCGCTTGCAGGAGGTGACACGTGGCGAAAAAAGTAGGCATCAGGCCGCCGCACGCGCATGCGCCACGCGCCCACGCTGCTGCCCCGCCCCGCCCCGCTCCCAGATTATATCAATCAAGATCTGAGATGCATGCTGTCGCTGGGGTTTGAACCCAAGCAACTGCCAGCCATACGCGTGTGTATACCACTGCCATAACACACTCGCCACAAAGTGTCTATGGCCTTGTAGCACGACACACTCGTGTTGAAGAGGTGTCGTGCTGGCTATTTACCCCCCCCCACCCCCCCGTGGCTGCTGCTGCCCGTGCACGTGGCCACCGGCAGTGCCACGTGGCACTTTGCTGTGGACTTAAGACCCCCCTGGTTAGGGGGCTGCGCCACAGCATCATTATTATTATTTTTTTACTATCTCTCTACTGCTGCAGCAACAACTTTGCAGCAGCTCAAGATTCCCCCCTGGCTAGGGGGCTGTGTGACTGTGACAGTAGGGTGGCTGATCAAGATCTCAGCCAACCCTAGATCATCATCATCATCCATCAGGGTATGCTCACACACCACACCCTGGATCTGCAGTGCTGCAACTAGGGGCTGATCAAGATCTCAGCCCCCCTATATCCTCCAGTTGGTTGGCTGCAGCGGAGGCCAAGACCCTCCTAGTCTTGGTATACCTTGTGCCCTTGGAGACACCAAGGGCCAGGTATCATCCCTCTCTCCCCTCCTCTTTTTACCTTCCCCACCCCACCTTTTCTCCCACTAACCACTAGCTTACCCTCTTTTCTTCATTTCTTTTCTTTTCTCTCCTCCTTCTTCCCTCCTAGTTTCTTGATCACTCTCCATCTTTCCCCATCCTCTTTCTCTCCCATTCCCCAACCCTCTTCTCCCCCAACTACCACCACATCATCCCCCCCACCCCCCACTTCATCTTTTTCTCTCTCCCACCTATTTCCTTCTTTTCTCCTTCACTTTTTCATTCCCCTTCCCCCCTACTTCGAATTTTTTTTGTTTTTCTTCTTTCTATCTCTCTCTTGATTTATCTCTTCTCTTTTTCCCAGAAATTCGAAATATCTTCTTTTCCACCTTCTTTTCTCATTTTCTGATTTTTTTTTTTTTTTTTTTTTTTTTWTTYTGAAAATTCGATTTTCTGTACGGCAACCCTATGCGAGGCTACGCCCGCTCAGCCCCTTCAGGGCCCTTTTTGCAGTATGTCGGCCGCCCTAAGTGAAGCCAGGCGCGACAGGCCCTCAGGGCCTCGATTTTCAGGGTACCCCACAACCGGTGAAATTCTGACAGTTGCGCTGCGCCAGTTGGTTGAAGGCGCTCAGGCCCAGGCCATATTTTGCAAATGGATCTGAATGGTGACCTGGGCCAGACGCGTGAAAAAGGCCGTGAGCAGGCCAAGGGCAGTTGGCCACATGCAACCATCAGGCCCTGGGCCTGCGTGTGAGGTCTGGGCCTGTGCCTACCGGGGCCTACGGGAAGCTTCCTGGACTGGACGCAGGCAGGCCACTTCGATATAGGGAAGGGCCTGCCTCCTCATTCAGCATTCGGGTGCTGGCTGAATGCTGCGCGAGCGCTGCTGCGCTATTTGCTGGCTGGCTGACACTCACGCTCCCACGGGCGAGCAAGAAGTAGCGGGCAGCCATAGCCGAGCTGCTCCGCTGTGAGCTGGGTGTGACGCAGGGTGGTCCTTGGGTGCAAGTGGCATCTGTGTGGTGTGGATCAGGGTTATGAGTGTTGCGAGAGACATACCTGGTGCTGGAAGCGTGCGGCATTGTCCGCTGTATGCTCGTACTTCAGGGAGCTGTTGTTGTCAACATCGACATTGTAGTATTAGGCTAGATAGGATCTGCCACAAGTAGTTTGGGCGCCGAGCGCCAATAGGATATCAACTCTTCTTCTTCGTTGATGATGATGAGAGACTATTTCAGCATTGTCAATTACGAACTATTGGTGTGTTCTGATTTGGTGAATCTCGTGATGCATGACTGTTGTTGGTTCGAGGTCAAGACTATCTGGTCACATATGTATGATGCTGTTTGGTTGCTGGAGTTCGCTATCATCTTCCTTGCACCTAAATCTGATTAGGTGTTAGTCTTTACTACTTTCGGCACACGTTTTGACCCCGTGGGGGTAACGAAGTGCTGCCGAAATTTTCTGTTTTTTTTTTGTTTTTTTTTTCCACTTAAGTCTTCTCGGCACACTTCGACCCCATGGGGGTAACGAAATGCTGCCAAATTTTTTGACAAATTAGATACTTCATTCCTCCCCACCTCCTCATCCACTTACTTTATTTATTTATTTATTTATTTATTATTTCTTTATTTATTTTCTGAATTTTTTTTTTTTTTTTTTCACCTAGTGTGCTCACCTTGGTCTCTCCTTTCCCCTTGGCACATTCTTGACCCCGTGGGGGGTAGGGAAATGCTGCCGAAAATTTGAAAAAAATAAATATTGTTTTCCCTTCACATCTTTTTACTTATTTTTTTTATTATTTTTATTATTTATTTATTTTCTTATTTATTTTTATTTTTTCTCGAAATCTCGCTGTTTATTTATTTTTCTCCTACCTTCCCCCCCCTATGCTTGCTATTTTATTTTCTTGACTCTACCCCTTGTGGGATGCCTCGCGCCGCTTGTGCGTCTCCCCCTGCCACACCTCGCTCAACCTACATTCGAGGTCTCGAGGACGAGATCGCCCAGCTCGCCCAGCTCCGGAACGACCTCGCCCTCTCACGCCTTCAGCCACCCCCACCCTCACAGGTGGTCGCGCCTTCTGGCGCACCCCCTTCTTCCTCTATTCTTCCTTCCATGCACGCTCGCTTCCCTCGCCCTGCACCCTACCCATCCCCATCCTACCTCCTCCCCATCCCCTCGGTTGCTACGACCTCTTCAACTGCAGCTCCCGTGCAGCCTGCCGCCGTTTCCCCCGCCGCTCCACCATGCGGCCCGGGCGTACAGTCAGCTGCGCCTCCTCCTCCAGGACCTGCGCCGACTTATTCCGCCGTAGCGCAGTCCCCTGCTTCCCGTTCCCCTCGCCGCCAAAACGGTGGCGCACCACTCATCTGCTTGTCGGACATTGCCTTATATGACGGTACAGGCATACGCGTGTCTAGGTGGCTGCAGTCTGCCACCCGCACGCTCCAGCTCATGGGCGCCACACCCGACACGTGGGTGGGTCACCTCTCCACGCGCCTACGTGGCGGTCCTCTCGAGGCCTGGGAGGATTTCTACGCGTACTCCCTTCGTGAGGGTCGGACCCCGACCTTCATGGATTTCCAGGCGTTCCTCGAGGATCACTTCGGAGCCCGATACGACGTGACTGACGCCTTCGAGCGTGTCGTCACACACGCTGGTCCGGCTCTGGTGGCGCTGCCGCTCTGGATCGCCACATTCAGGTCTTTCAGGACGCCCGCCTCACTTGTGACGTGGCGTTCCTCCCCGAGGCTGCCCTTATCGATCGTTTCCTGGCCAACCTTCCGCTCGAGTACCGCTCCGAGCTATGGCGGTACGAGTTCACATCGGCCCCGCACGCTTACGAGGCCGCCAGGGACCACCAACGGATGTGAGCCTGTCTTCACCCCGCCTCCTCCTCCCAGCCTCAGCGCACGTGCTACGCCTCCTCCTCTCACGACACTTCCCAGTGCCGTTCCCCCTTCCGCGGTCGCCCCCGCCGTTCCGCGCAGCAGGGCCGCCACTTCTTGCGCCGCTTCAGCGCGCTCGAGTATGGTGAGCAGGACGCTGGTGCCCCGCTGTCACCAGAGGGTGACCATAGCGCCGACCTCGACCTTGGCGAGGCCGTCCACCACCACCTGGAGGACCCTACTCTCCCTATGGCTGAGCGCCTCCAGCTCATCCTCTCCACCCTTTCCCGGGCACACAGCCGCCCTGATCACACTGGCGCGTCGCCCCCCGAGGTCACTTAGCAGGACCTCCCTCAGGGCTTTGTCCCTCCTCGCGGTGTTCTTTCCGCTGAGGAGCACGTGGCTATTTTGGACCGACGTGGGTGTTTGCGCTGCCGCTTGGACAGTCATACCTCCTCGCGGTGCCCTTATACCACCGCCCTCGACCGCCACTACGCTGACCTTTCCCGCCAGCGTCGTGCTCAATCCCCCCCCGGCGCCTCCCATCCCCGCGACGCCTCCTAGCCACGGTGCAGTGTACACCTGCGCCCTCCTCAGTAGTAGGCTTCCCGACATCTCCGTCGCGGTTCGCCCCTCTTGCTACTGGAGCTGAGGTATCGCAGGACTCGACAGAGTGTACTCAGCCCTCTGTCGCGGTACCGTCTGCGCCTCCGCAGACCACCGTCTCCTCTCCTTCCCCGCCGCGAGTACCGACGCGTCGAGCAATTCGCTCAGCCCGTTGCAGCGAGCAGCTCGCTACTCGCGAGGACGTTGTGTCCTCTCTTCTGGACTTGAGCATGCTCCAGGCTCGTTAGGAGCGACTCACCCTCCATGTCGCTGCCCTGCGTCGCCTTCTCACCATCCTCTCTGACCCTGATCGCACCCTCTCGATCATCCCAGTACGATTGGGGACCTCCACGAGGGTGTACTCAGCGCTGTGGGATTCCGGTTCTCAGGGCGACTTCATTCACCCCCATGTGGTGAAAGAAGCCCGCTTACCTACGACCGGGTCTCCGTCTCCCATCTCTGTCAGCCTAGGGGATGACAAGACCCAACGCTTCTTCGATCAGACAGTCACCGACCTCCCTTTCTTCCTCACTCTCGAGTCGACTGATCGTTCCCCGGCGTTTCGTCGCCACCGCTCCTCTGCACATTTCGATGTGATGGAGACAGGGTACGACTTCATTCTCGGCACTCTGTGGTCTCGTCGGTTCCGCAGCACCGAGGTCGATTGGGCGACCAACACTCTCGTTCTCAAAACGAAGTGTGGACAGATGTATCGCGTACCTTTCATAGGTACCACCACGACACCACGCCCCGATCCTCCTCCCCCGGAGCCTTCCGTGCCCACACCACCTCCTTCTATCACGGTCACCTCGCCTCAGCAGTTTGCCCACTTCATCCGACTGGACGACGTCACCTTCTTTATGGTGAACGTGAAGAATCTCTTACACTATGATCCACCCTGTCCCGATGCCGAGCTCATCCCTCTGGAGCCAGATCCTCCTTCTATCTCCATGGCTCCCATCTCTACTTCCGTCCCTCCGCCGTCCGTCGAGTCCACCCCGCCGTCGCGCGCTGACACTGACGATGAGGAACTCGCACGATATACGGCCGACTTGGAGCCCGCAGTTCGTGACCTCATCCGAGAGTACCACAACGTTTTCCCATCGTCGTTCTCGTACGCCGGCATCCCACCGATGCATGACGTCGAGCACTCCATCCAGCTTGTGTCGGACTATCGTGTTCACCACCAGACACCCTACCGACTCTCGATCCCCGAGGCCACCGAACTCAAGCGTCAGCTTGAGGAGCTCCTGAGACTGGGTTTCATTAAACCTAGCAACTCCCCGTGGGGTGCACCCATCCTCTTTGCTCGCAAAGCGGATGGAACTCTTCGTCTCTGCATCGACTACCGCGGTCTCAACCGCTACACGGTTAAGAACAACTACCCCATGCCTCGCTCCCATGAGCTGTTCGACCGCCTAGCAGACAACCGCTTCTTTACGAAGATTGATCTTCGTAGAGGTTACCATCAGATCCGCGTCGCAGCAGCCGACCAGCCGAAGACCGCGTTGCGATCGCGCTTCGGCCACTACGAGTTTACGGTGATGCCATTCGGCCTCACCAATGCACCCGCTACCTTACACAGGGCGATGAACGACATCTTCAGGGACATCCTGGAGCAGTACGTTCTCGTCTACCTCGACGATATCCCGGTCTACAGTCGTACCCTTGAGGAGCACCTCAGACGCCTCCGCGACGTCCTTGACCGCTTGCGCAGACATGGCTTCTACGCCAAGCTAAGCAAGTGCCGCTTTGCCCAGCACAAAGTGGATTTCTTAGGACACTACGTGTTTGACCAGGGTCTCCACATGGACGACGCGAAGATCACTGCTATTGCGGAGTGGCCCGCCCCCACATCCGCCAAGCAGCTTCGCAGCTTCCTAGGCCTGACCAGTTACTATAGTAACTTCATCCGGGGATACGCTAGGTATTCCTACGTCCTTACCTCCACCCTCCTCCGGAAGAACCCACCCTGGGCCTGGACACCCCTCCACGAGGACGCCTTCCTCGCCCTCAAGAAGGCGGTGACATGTGCACCGGTTCTTCACCTACCCGATTTTGACCGCCCTTTTATTCTTACCACCGATGCGCCAGACTTTGCTGTAGGAGTAGTGCTTTCACAGGTCTTCCCCTCCTCTCCTGATTCCTCTCATCCTCGTATCCCTCGGGTCCCACCACCTACCCCTACCACTGCTTCCCGACTGACGCCTACTCGTCCAACTACTGACAAGCCCTCTACTGACTATTCTCCTACCATCGCCGAGGACGGCACTGTCGAGTCTCGCTCAGGTGATTGTCCGATAGCCTTTTACTCCCGTCAGCTCCTGCCCGCCGAGATAAACTACACCGCTGATGAACGTGAGGTTCTCGCAGTAGTTTATGCTGCTCGACACTGGCGTCACTACCTGCATGGGGCACCATTCACGGTGCGCACGGACAACTCTGTTGTCCAGGCTTTTATGACAAAACCGAAGCTCACTCCTCGACAGGCTCGCTGGTGGCGCGACCTATCCGAGTTTAGTTTCACCACTTAGCACGTCAAGGGTGAGACTAATCGGGTCGCAGATGCCTTATCTCGGCACCCTGACCACGACCAGGAGCAGATCCAGCTCTCTTCCATCTCGGTCACCATTGTCCACCACTCGGTGATCGACGAGTTTCGCACTCAGTACTGCCACTGCCCCGACTATCGCGACATCCACGCGACCCTTCGGAGTGGCAAGACCGTCCCGAACTACTCTCTCGGGGACAATGGTCTCGTGTACTGGCACGGTTCACAGGGCACCAGAGAGCCCCGTATTTGCGTTCCCTCCACTGGACAGCTCCGTGTCCGAGCAGTAGCAAAGTTCCATGACCCGGCAGCCGCCGGTCATATGGGCTTCCACAAGACGTTGGCTCGTGTAAGCCGCCTGTATGTCTGGCCGAAGCCCAAGGACTTTGTGAAGGACTACGCCGCAGAGTGTCCCACCTGTCAGGATGTGAACAGTGCGAACCACCTGCCTTATGGTTTGCTCCAGCCTCTTCCCATCCCAGAGGGTCGTTGGCAGTCCATCTCGATGGACTTTATCGGTCCTCTTCGTCCTCTGACCCCCTGCGGTCATGATGCTATCTTGGTCGTCGTCGACCGCTTCACGAAGCGTGCACGCTTTGTTCCGTGCCGCTATGCCATCAGTGCACGTGAGGTCGCTGACATCGTGTTTGATCGAGTCGTGCGTGACCACGGCTTACCTCTGAGCATCATATCTGACCGTGACTCGCGCTTTACCAGCTGATTCTGGCGACGGCTCCACGATGTATATGGCACTCAGCTCCGCTTCTCCTCGTCTTACCATCCTCAGACCGATGGTCAGACCGAGATCACGAACAAGACTCTTGGAGATATACTCCGAAAGATCGTTCGTGACGACCAGCAGTGGGACCTCTATCTTGCCCACACAGAGATAGCCTAGAACCACGCCGTCTCGCCAGCCACGATGATGTCGCCTTACTATTGCGACCTCGGCTACCACCCTCGTGTTCCCGCGGACTTCCTCCGACCGTCACAGATGCACCCCGACACGAGTTGCCCCGCGCTGGATGATTGGGTTGCACACATGACGTCGATCATGAAGACCGCACATGAGCACATAGCCGCTTCCCAGACTCGCATGGCAGCACGTGCGAGCCGATCGAGGATGGATCATCCATTCAAAGTCGGTGATGATGTGCTTATCGACGCCCGCCACTTACAGCTCGAAGCGGACACGCTTCGCAAGTTTCGGCGTCGCTTCTTTGGCCCATGCCGCATCCTCCAGGCCGTCGGTTCT